GCGCGGGGGGTCCCCAAACCCCCGCCTTTTGGGCCGGGGGGGGGGGGGGCATTTGCAATTTCACGCCGGCGGGTTATTTACATTATTTTATATATTTATAATTATTTACATTAATTATAGTCCGCTCTTTAGCGGGACTCTATACAATCAATACATTCAATAAGCTGCAATAGAATCTGGGTTGGGGAACCGACCAGAAAGCTGAGAAACAGTGTTGGAGGAAAGCATCAGCGTTAACGTGTCATAGGAGGATCCTACTTACAGCAAACTAAACACAGTCCTTCAGAACACCCCCCCCCCCCTAAAGATGTATCCAAGAAATCTTGTGAAGCTTTTTCTCAAGCTCTACCCCATTGCTTGCTTAGAAAAGCCCTCTTGAAGGATTCAGTTCTGCTTAGTCTGTGGAAAGGCAGGTCAGGGGGTGCCTTCCCGACCCCCTCAGGCAGACCATTGGTGGGGGCCATAAGAGAGAAGGCCCCTGTCCAGGCCAGCCAACAGAGGGACTGCAGAAGGGCAGTAATTCGCCTAGCTCCTCACAATGGTTGAGCCCTGGCACTTTGCACCAGCTGGAGCTTCTGGATTGGTTTAATGCAACCTACAGGGCATTGATCTAGTTCAGTCTCCACGTCACTGTGGCAGTTCAGTTTCAGTTTGTTGATTCTCGGCCATTGAACCACAGCAACCAGGAGGCAGCTGAGGACCTCTGCCACATCCCTGCCTCCTTCTCCTGCTCCTGCTTGCCCCAGCAGCCTCCGTGTCCTGACCAGGAGGGGCCCCTCTGCTGGCTGCTTGGGCAGTGCTCTTGCCCAGGCCTTCTGGCCGAAGGTTAAGCCCTTCCCAGTCACTTTGTGCTGGACTCCGGTTCACCTGCACCCGCTAAACAGACTGCTCCCCAGGTACCAGAGGCCAAGCTCATAACATCCCCAGCAGATTTGTAAAGAGCCCAATAGAGGCTGCGGTCACACGGAGCATTAGCCATGCTACAGAGACGGAAGATAGGGTAGAGCTCCTGTGGCTAACCCGAGGCTTCCCGCCGAAGATGTGGGGTAAAAAACTAGTACCTCCGAGGTACTAGTTTCCGGAAACCGCAGGGCAAGGGCGGGCGTCTGATTGCATTTCTGGCGCCTGCCCATGTCCCCTCGCAAAAAGGTTCCCCCCCCCAAGTCTCCATGGGATGCGCACAAGCACCCAACGGAGCATGCGCACACTTCAGTTAAAAAAACCCCCACAACTCCGTTTGTCGCGCCACCCCGCTTCTTTGCCTGTCGTGTGATCGGCACCTCCCCCCTAACCACGGGACTTCGATGGGACCTCAATGAGACGTCTGATCACGCAGGCTCGCATTATTTTGCTTCAGGGCAAACAGCCAAGCTTCCCCCCCGCATTTTCCGGCCCGTGTGACCGGAGCCAGAGATGTTTTCCTTTCCCGAAGGACCAGAAGCATAACCTTAAAAACTTGATACTTACTATAACCCAATGAAGTTAATTCTGATCCGCAAACTACAACAATGACATTCCTTCTGATCCATTTAGGTTGTCTCTTGTCCAGGGTCAGTGATATAACTCCTTTCTCTTGTGGTTTCTTTCTGCCTTTTAGTTATCTTTCCCTCTTCATAGGCTTTCCCTCTTCATAAGGGTGTCCTTCCAGTCAAAGGTGTCAAGAGAAAGGAGAAGGAGATGGAAGAGGAGGACCCAGAAGGCCCTGGAACTGGCAAAAGATTGAGAAAAAGTCCCCATCCCATCCCAGCAGGGAGTGCTGCTGGATTCTGGGAAAGAGCTGTGCCAGATATCTTGGCTGAAGACACTGTGAGCACAGATACACGCAGCCGATGCTTCCGGCAATTCTGCTACCATGAGGCCGATGGGCCCCGAGAGGTTTGCAGCCGGCTCCATGGACTTTGCAACCGTTGGCTGAAGCCAGAGAGGAACTCCAAGAAGCAGATCCTGGACCTGGTGATCCTGGAGCAGTTCCTGGCCGTCCTGCCCCAGGAAATGCAGTGCTGGGTCAGAGGATGCGGGCCAGAGACCAGTTCCCAGGCAGTGGCCCTGGCCGAAGGTTTCCTCCAGAGTCAGGCAGAGGAGAAGAGGCAGGCAGAGCAGGTGAGGGGTTTTCATTCACTCAGTTCAAACAGTGACCTTGTCCTAAGGCTTCCTGTCAGACATTTCTCTGTGTGTGCGTGTCAACTGCCATCAAGTTGCTTCCGACATATGGAGACCCTATGAATTAATGTCCTCCAAAACATCCTATCGTTAAGAGCTTTCCTTGGGTCTTACAAACTGAGGGCTGTGGCTTCCTTGATTAAGTCAATCTGTGCCATGTTTGGTCTTCCTCTTTTCCTTCTGCCTTCAACTTTTTTTAGCATTATTATCTTTGCCAGTGACTCTTGTCTTCTCATAATGTCGCCAAAGTACTAATTTTAGTCTAATTTTAGACATTTTAGCTTCTAGGGAGAGTTGAGGTTTGATTTGATCTAGAACCCACTGATTTGTCTTTTTGGTGGTCCGCAGTATCCATAAACACTCCTCTCCAGTACCACAACTAGGAGCCAGTTTGGTGTAGTGGTTAAGAGCGGCAGACTCTAATCTGGGAAACTGTTTGATTCCCTACTCCTCGACGTGAAGCCAGCTGGGTGACCTTGGGTCAGTGGCTGTTCTCTCAAGAGCAGTTTTCTCAGAGCTCTCTCAGCCCCATCTGCCTCACAGGGTGTTTGTTGTGGGGAGACGAACGGAAGGAGATGGTAAGCTGCTCTCAGACTCCAAAGAGAAGGGTAGGATATAAATCCAGTTCTCCTCCTCCCCCTCCTCCTTCTTTCCTGCCACATATAGGCTGCGGTCACATTGTTGTAGTCACACGGAGCATTACCCACCCTAAATTTCTGAAATTCCAGACTAGTCATTACTTTTGTCTTCTTGATGTTCAGCTGTAATCCCAGTTTGGCGCTTCCTGCTTTAGTAGTTGTAGTATCTCAAATAGTTACTGTTCCTTCTGCCAGTTTTCACTCCTCCTTCATCTAACTCAAATCCAGATTTCCTTATGATATGTTCTGCGTACAGATTGAAGAGAAAGGGAGATATAATACATTGTGGTCTGATACGTTTGCCAGTTTGGAAATCATCCTGTTTCTTCATCTTCTGTCCTAACACTGGCCTCTTGTTCAGAGTAGAGGATGCACATCAAAGAAAACAGTTGTTGTGGCAGACTCATTTCTTCACGATCCACACAGTCCAAAGCTTTGCTGTAATCTGTGAAACACAAGCTGATTTTCTTCTAAAATTCTCTCGAATGCTCCAATAACTGACCTAAATTTGTGATATGATCTCAAGTACCTTGTCCTTTTATTAATCCAGCTTCAACACGTGGTATTTCTCATTCCATGTATGGCAACAGTCTTCGATGTAAGATTTTGAGAATCACTTTACTCCCATGAGAAATTAATGTGAAGGTCCCGTAGTTGCTGCAGTCTTTGATGTCTCCTTTTGTCGGAATTGGAATGTAAAGTGAGTGTTTCTGGACTGTGGGCCCTTGTTTTGCTTTTCCATCTTTGTTAGCATATTCTCATTAGGACTCCTTTTCTGTGCCTTGAATAGTTCTATTGATATCCCATCTACCCCTGGTGGTGTTTCTCCCCATTGCTCTCAGTGCAGTTTCTCCTTTACTTTCTAAAAGCATTGGATCTTCTTCAAAAGATTCTTCTGGAAAGGAATCTGTCATCCTTTCATCTCCTTGGTATAATTCCTCAGTGTGTTGTTCCCATCTTTTCTTAGATATTTCTACCTCTAGATATTCCACTAGATATTTCCATTCCTTTTTTTACCTGCCTCCACCGTTGTTGTTGTTTCAGATGTGGGAACGACCCGTGAAGATGGAAGCGAAGCTCTCTGAGGCAGAAGGAGCTCCGTCAGAGGAACGTCAGAGGGCGCAGTGTGCCCAGGAGGATGCCCGAGATGCCCTGTCAAGTGGTAAGGGAGCCTCCTACCCAGATGGGATCAGGGGACCTAGTCAAGTTATTTTGTTTGCTTCTTTCATCACCCATCCCCAGGGTTGTGACACCTTGTCTTCTTTACACTCAAGAATATTTGTAATGACTTTAGTAAGGTGTCGGAGAGGTGGAAGAGAAGCACCAGGTTGGGTTTGATTCCCCACTCCTCCACTTGCAGCTGCTGGATGACCTTGGGCAAGCCCTAGTTCTTTCAGAGCTGTCCTTGAAATAGCTTTTTTTAGGCTATTTCTGAGCCATTCTCTGCACCTGAGCTGGGCCTGTCTCTCGTCTAAAGCACAGCCACGTCTGAATCATCCAGGCAGTTCTATCTTTCCTAGAAGCACAAAGTCAGCCAATCTCTCCCGAAAGAAGTATATTTTATTGTCAGCAAGAGAGAGCCAGAAGACTGATTAATGAGCCTCCACGTCAACAACTTGTTATAGTAGAGTAAGTCCCTCAGGAAGCTCATCCCGGAGGAACAGGCAGTGTCAAAAAGTCCAGATTAGACTGAAGAAGAGTCTGTCCTGTTCCATCCTCCCAAAGCACCTGAAAGGCGCAGTGACCACACAGCAATTGTGCAGTTATCCAGGTGTTCAGCATGACCAGGGTGATGGAATCTAAATGTGGAGAAGTTAGTCTGGCAGACCCTTAGAGCAGCAGAGGGTTCTCATTGCTGTCAGCCCTCTTCCCTGGAGACAGGGGGAGATGGTGCCGGCCAGCCTTGGAGAAATTCGGGCATCGGGGCACGCTGAGTGGACAGGTATTCCTGGCTTTTCTGTGTGTGTGTGTTTGTGCTTTTCTTTGGCAGATGGTTTCCTGCCTCAAGGGGGTGGAAGGCTTTGGGTAGGAGTTGGTCGCTTGCCTCTTGGGGAGACGGGAGGCATCTACAGCGCTTTCTCTGTCCTGTTCTGGCTCAAACAAACTCTGCGTCAACTGAGAACCTGAGGCTGTGTTTACTGGGCTGACAGTTTCAGTGGGAATCTCTTCAGTAACATACAATCCCACTCTCTTGGGGTGAGGTCTGATCCCCATCACCACAGAAGAAGGGGCTGTTTGATATAGCATAATCCTCTTGCCCTTGGGTGGCAGTGTTAACCGGTGGAACTACCCGCTGCAAGCCACCTCTGCAAGGCAGAACATCTCCAAAGAAAGCCTCAAACCCATCTCCAGCTAGTAGTAAGGCCTGAAGGCATCCAGGGGACTGCTGTAGGAATGGCTTGGGCGATGCCCACCACACTGGCCATGCTGAACCATCGTGTTCACTGCCACCCCCACCTCCTTGAGGCCCCCAGCGGGGAGGGGGAGGTAGCCGGGCAATCCTCACAGTCACAGGTTGCTTTTCAATATTTTGATTCATGCATCGTCCCAATGGCAGCAATTTGCACGTTTGGCACCTATGAAAGGTCCTTACCCAGAGAGGCCACACTCCCGTAGTTCTCCAGCATGACGTCCCTGTAGAGAGCTCTTTGGCCCGGAGCCAGCAAGGCCCAGTCGGCCTTGGTGAAATACACGGCCACCTCCTCAAAGGAAAAGGGAGGCTGAAAGGAAAATTAGAGATCAGTCCAGGGAGAGACTACAGTCTCGACGGGGGCATTCTGGGAGGGTGCAGGATGAAGAGTTTGGCATGCATAAAGAGGGTGGGGTTCAGAGCTTGTCTCTGCTCGGTCAGCAGGACCAAAAGCCTCATGAGAAAGAAGGGAGGACCTGACTATCCCCCAATCTCCCCCCCCCCCAACCGGGACTAGAGGTGGAGCAGCCGTTTCCACTGCTCTGAAAAGCTGGCAACAGGTTGACAACATCTCTTCACTGCCTGTAAGGGAGACAAAATTGAAAGGATGACTGTTGGGCAGAAGGTTCAGGACAGGAGAAAAGGGGAACGCTTTTGCAGACTACATAGGATGGCTCAGAAATAGCAAAAAAAAAAAAAGGCTCTGTCCATGAGAAAGATGCCCTGTGACGTCCTCTTCTCTGGGGAGGTCTGGTTTTACTTTAAAAGTTCTTATGTTTTATTTTTCTTTGGGTATTCTGGCTGCCACCAGGGAAATTTAGGCTTTCCCACACCTTTTCTATAATATTTTTCCTCCCTGGGTAGGTATTGTGACCCAGGGTCTGGGCTTTCGAAGGACCATGTGTTTCCTGAGGAATTTCGTTCAGAACTGTTATCTTAAATAAAAATAGATTTATTTTTTGTTTCACACACTTCTCCCTCTTACTGACAGGGATCTGGGCATGTCGCTTTGTAACAATATTTTCCTTAGACCATATATGGTTACTGTTTCTGTATGCTTTAACTTCTCATAACACACACGAGACTTCTCTCTCTCAGACCTTAAAACGAACAAACTGCTTAACTCTTTTACTAGACAGAACTTATAACATCTGCTTTCACATAGCACTCTCTGCTGACTCTCACTGTTTAACTGTTATATCACTAACTCATTAACTGTCATCATTAACTGTTACTTCTGATAGACATCCAAATCATCCACACAGCATCCATTCCAAAACCCCTCCCCCTCTCTGTCACTCACCAATCATATCACTTGCCTGAGTCCAGCACTCTAGAAAAAGTCACACACACACAAAACATGAAATCGTTACATGCCCCTACACTGCAAGGCTGGTTTTCTCATCTGTAATTACCTGCCCCCATAACAAACGGCACCTTTTCAAAAAACCATAGGGCCCCCCTTTGAACTGTGGGGTTCACTTGGTGAGCTCCTGGCTTCTCTCGTCCCCCCGGAAAACATGTATTTTGGGAAGGCTGAAAACCAGGACCTCCTGGCTCTGTTGACAACTAGAAGGAAACTCTTAGTGCAGTTGTAGGACTGTATACCTTGATAACCTCTTGTATTTAACCGTCAAGTGCAGAGAATCAAAAGTAAAAAAAAAGGAAAGTTAAATGGGAATGGGGGGAAGACAATTTTTTTGCTACTTTTCTCCTTAAAATACATGTGGGGAGTTTGGGGAGGGGAGGGACGGACGGAATATAAAAAACAGCCATACAGGAGGGCCTGGCAGGGATAAGGTGTGACCAGTGTCTCAGTTTGGGAGGAGAGTTGATCAGATTACAGAAATGCACACCCGTTCCTGAGCAGTACCTGACTGGTGCCTTGGCTTCTTGCCTGGGTGCTAATTGAAACTCTTTCTTTATTCCAGAAGCAGATGCGGAGGAGACAGCTGGGGAATTCCAGGGGTTCTCTTTGGAAAAAGTCAAGAATGAAGATGCCGACGGACACTTCGGCGATGGAGATGGACCCCAGAGGCTGGAGGGAAGCCAAGCAGGTAAGAGGAGGGATAAGCCCATTCCTTACTGAGGAGGGGTTTTCCGTGAAATCCGCGTCCAAGAAGAAAGGTCAATCAAAAAGAGAAGGCTCAAAGGCCTCCTTCCTAACCAGAGAATCCACTCTGGGAGCGGAAAAATAAGCGTTTAAAACTGTTTTGAGAGACTTACCAGAGTGCAGAAAAGCATTCGGGCAAACATCAGAGACTTTAGCAACTTATTTGAAAAGTAAACAAATCCAAAAAGATGGCGGGGGGAAAACCGGAGAAAGAGAAGCTGCTGAAAGCGAAACTTGGGGGCAGTCGTCGAACAGAGAAGGTCACTGAGCTCGCAAAACTTTTATCTGACTCCCTGCGCCCTCTGCTGGATGAGATCACTGGCATTAAACAACAACTGTCAACAATTGGACAGAGTCTAGCAGATCAGCAGATGCAGTTGACTAAATCCTTGAAAGCACCAGAGCAAATTGAAGAGAAGGTGAAGGAAATGGACGTCATGACTAAAAAGGTTAAGAAAAAGGTGCAAAAGCTGGAAATGAAGCAAGCTACGAAAGAGTCAAAGCTTTTACAACTACAAATGGATAAAGCAAACTTGGTCCTGTGGTTCCAAGGGGTCCCGGAGAATAAAGGAGAAAATCTGAAGCAACAGCTGAGTGAAGCATTAGCCCCAATGACTGATTTAACAGTGGAATACCTTTGCAGCAAGATGGATGTGATCTACAGGTCTTATTCATCGTACATCAAGAAAAATAATCTGCCTGGGGAGATAGTAGTCAGATTCTCGAAGAGACATGTGAGAGACACTATTTTAAAAGCAACCTCGGGAACCCCCGTGAAAATTGGGGACAACAACATTAGGATCTTAAAAGATATTCCATTTGATATAAGACAGAAGAGAATGAATTATAAAGAACTAATCCTTTTCTCAGAAACAAATGGCATTAATTACAGGTGGTTAACCCCAGAAGCTCAACGATAAAAAAGAGAAGATTGACTCTGTTTTTAAAGCACGCAAATTTTTGCGGATACAGTTCGGGGAACCAGAAGTGGGTAAAGGGGAGGAAGAAGAAAGCAAATCAGATGGCGAGTTGGGCTCGGGGTCTTCGGACGAGGACAACCCCTCTGAAAAGGGGGCAGCTGCCCCCAAAAGCCCATATAAACTGAGGATTAGAAAAGATAAGAATAAATAAGGGCTGAAGGACTCTGATTTGTGCCTGAAAAAAATGTTGAAATAACTTGGGGATGCTCTGGGAATTTCTTTAAACAGTTAAAGGGATGGTTAAACGATAATTAATTTAACACAACCAACTAAATTCATTGTATTTTTAGTAGCTTTCTTCTTTTTTAAAATAGCATGGAGTTAAGCTGAGGTATGATCTCCTACTCTTGGGTTTTTAGTTAGTTGTGGGTCTTTCTTTCTCCCTCTAGATGTAGTACCCTTCCCCATATTTTCTGTTGTAGTTTTGTACTCTTTAAAAACAACAACAAAAACTTCCCCCCAGGGGGATGGGGGGAAAAAAGTGCAGAGAATCAAAAGTTTAAAAAAAAAAAAAAAAGTAAGTCAAATGGGAACCGGGGGGGACAATTTTTTTTGCCACTTTTCTCCTTAAAATACATATGGGGAGTTTGGGGAGGGGAGGGACAGACGGAATATAAAAAACAGCTCTACATGAGGGCCTGGCAGGGATAAGGTGTGACCAGTGTCTCAGTTTTGGAGGAAAGATGATTGGATAACAGAAATGCACACCCATTCCTGGGCACTGCCTGACTGGTGCCTTGGCTTCTTGCCTGGGTGATGATTGAAACTCTTTCTTTATTCCAGGAGCAGATGTGGAGGAGACAGCTGGGGAATTCCAGGGGTTCTCTTTGGGAAAAGTCAAGAATGAAGATGCCGACGGACACTTCGGCGTTGGAGATGGACCCCAGAGGCTGGAGGGAAGCCAAGCAGGTAAGAGGAGGGATAAGCCTATTCCTTACTGAGGAGGGGTTTTCCATGAAATCCCAGTCCAAGAAGAAAGGTCAATCAAAAAGAGAGGGAACAAAGGCCTCCATCCTAACCAGAGAATCCACTCCAGGGAAGCTGAAAGTGTGGCCTTGGCAAAGACCTTCAGTCAGAGAACGAACATTATTTTGCAGACACAAATTCCCTTAGGAAAGGAACCATGTAATTGCTTGCAGAGCGGAAAGAGGCTCAGTCAAAAAAGAGCTCTTACTTGACATCAAAAAATCACATAGTTGGGGAACCATAAATGGTCAGAGTCTAAACCAAGCCTCTCTCATGTAGGAGGCTTCATGTACTTTTAAAGTGTATGTTATTGTGCACTTCTGCATACAGCGGGAAGAAGCGGCTGTAATATTTGGATTGCGGATAGAAATTCAGGTGCAGATCAGATGTCCTTGCCTGGGTTCTAACAGGATCCCTTTCTTTATTCCAGCAGGGGATGATGAGAGGAATGAGGAGGATGAGGAACTGCATCCTCCATTGCCAGACGAAGTCAAGAATGAAGACTTGAGAGGAAACTTGAGAAACCATGTTGGACCTAAGAGGCAGAAAATAAGCCACATCGTCCAGAAGAGGGGTAAACCCATTCCTTGCCAAGGGGGTGATTTCCAAGAAGGAATTCACATGGTGAAGGAAACATACAAGTCCTTGGCGGGCGGAATGAACTTCTCAGACCAATCCCACTATAATGTCCATTTACGGATGCACAGTGGAAAGAAGACCCATCACTGGCTGGTCTGTGGAAAGACCATGATTCGCAGAGCAGACCTCCTTAGACATCAAAGAACACATTTAGGCGAGAAACCTTATAGCTGCTCAGACTATGGCAAGAGATTCTCAAAGATATCAGACCTTGTTCAGCAGCAAAGGATTCATATAGGAGGGAAGCGATTTATTTGCTCAGGGAGTGGAATGATGTTCTCTGTCAAAGGCAAAGGTAATATACAATGTCCAAAGCACAGTATAATGAATGCATTTAAATGCTTTTGGTGTGGAAAATACTTCAAATACAGATCACAGCTCCTGGTGCACCAACGAATCCACAGAGGGGAGAAGCCTTTTAAATGCTCAGAGTGTGGGAAGACATTCAGTTGCAGTGGCACTCTTCAAACTCATCTAAGAACCCACACAGGGGGGATACCTTCTGAATTCTCAGACTGTGGGAAGAGATTCCGTCGCATTAGCACTCTTCAAGTACATCTAGGAACCCAAACGGGGGAGAAGCCTTTTGAATGCTCAGCGTGTGGGAAGAGATTAAGTTGCAGTAGCACTCTTCAAGTACATCTAAGAACCCACACAGGGGAGAAGCCTTTTGAATGCTCAGAGTGTGGAAAGAGATTCAGTGACAGAAGCACTCTTCAAAGACATCTAAGAACCCACACAGGGGAGAAGCCTTTTGAATGCTCAGAGTGTGGGAAGAGATTCAGTCAGAATAGCCATCTTCAAAAACATCTAGGAACCCACACAGCAAAGAAGCCTTTTGAATGCTCAGAGTGTGGGAAGAGATTCAGTCACAGTGGCACTGTTCAAGAGCATCTAAGAACCCACACAGGGGAGAAGCCTTTTGAATGCTCAGAGTGTGGGAAGAGATTCAGTCAGAGTAGCCATCTTCAAAAACATCAAAGAACCCACACAGCGAAGAAGCCTTTTGAATGCTCAGAGTGTGGGAAGAGATTCAGTCACAGTGGCACTGTTCAAGAGCATCTAAGAACCCACACAGGGGAGAAGCCTTTTGAATGCTCAGAGTGTGGGAAGAGATTCAGTTGCAGTAGCACTGTTCTAGAACATCTAAGAACCCACACAGGGGAGAAGCCTTTTGAATGCTCAGAGTGTGGGAAGAGATTCAGTCAGAGTAGCCATCTTCAAAAACATCAAAGAACCCACACAGCGAAGAAGCCTTGTGAATGCTCAGAGTGTGGGAAGAGATTCAGTCAAAATGGCAGTCTTCAAGAACATCAAAGAACCCACACAGGGGAGAAGCCATTTGAGTGCTCCATGTGTGGGAAGAGATTCTGTCACCGTAGCACTCTTCAAAATCATCTAAGAACCCACACAGGGGAGAAGCCTTTTGAATGCTCAGAATGTGGGAAGACGTTCAGTCAAAGGGGCCCCCTTCAAACCCATCTAAGAACCCACACAGGATAAGATGAACCTTTGCTAACATGAACTGTTGCCCAGATAGATTTTATTAATTGCGATGTTAAAAAGAACTAGACAGATATGATTACGCTTTGGAACCTAGCACTTGTAAGGCCATGGAACGTGCATTCAGGCAAAGGTGCAAAGAGAGCTGGTGTGGTGTAGTGGGTAAGTGCGCGGACACTAATCTGGGAGAACCAGGTTTGATTCCTTACTCCTTCACTTGGAGCTGCCGGATGACTTCAGGCAAGCCATAGTTCTGTCAGAGCTGTTCTCTCAAGGATAGTTCTGGAAAGAGCTCTCTCAGCCCCACCTACCTCACAGGGTGTCTGTTGTGGGGAGGGAAAGGGAAAGGGGTTTGTAAGCTGCTCTGAGATTTTGAGTGAAGGGCGAGGTATAAATCCAATCTCCTCCTCCTTCTTCTTGGCAAGGCTTTAGTTTTTACACCTAGGCTGCCAGCAAAACAGCAAAGGCCTATTGACCTTCGGAACCAAGAAACCAAAGTCAGGTGCAGGAAGCTGGGACATCTTTCAAACGCCATCCCCACTCTGAGAGGTTTGAAACAGGGCTGTGTTTTAGCACCGTCTCTCTTCAGCTTTTATATAAATGACTTGGTCAGATGTTTAAATGACCAGGCCTTTCGTTCTCCTATACTACAGCATCGTCAGATCTATTATATGCAGATGATGCAGATATTCTGTTAAGGACCCCAGTTGGGCTAAGAAGAGCCCTAAAGGCTCTAGTACAGCCTTGCAAAGAAGACTTTCTTTCAGTAAACTATCAGGAAACAAGAATAATGGCCTTTGGCAAGAAACAGAAGTCCAGAACCTGGTCCATCGATGGCCGTTTGATTGAACTGGTGCAGGCCTTCAACGATCTCGGTGCAGTATTCCATGCTTCCGGTTCAAGAAAAGCACACGTTGCCCACGCAGCAGATACTGGGCAAAAGTCGGCTCATAATATACTTGGATTTCTTTGAACTAAGAGTGGAGATTACATCCCTGCTGCCCTAAAACTCTTCCAGGCCAAAACCTTGGCCCAGCTGTTGCACAGAACTATGATAGGGCCAACATCATCTTCTTTTGCCCCTCTTGAGTGTGTTCCATCAAAGTTCCTAAGAGCATCATTACAAGTTCCGAGTTGCATACCAAATGCCTTGCTACATTTGGAGACTGGCACTGTCAGAGTGGAAGCCAAGGTGTGCCTTGCCTCCCTAAATTACTGGATCAAGACTAGCAGTTTTCAGCAAGGTTTGACCCCACTACTCCTCTTGGATGAACATCAGTCTGTATGGCTTGAGACAGTCATTTGCAGACTTGCGAGCCTGGGCTTTTCACCTTCCATGATTTTAACCATGGGCCTTGACCTGGCAAAAACAAAGGATATTGGACACTGACCGCCAGCTTGATTTAGGGAAGGTCCCTACCAATGTTCCCTCTAAACTGTAGAGTCCTGTGAGCAAAAATACTACTTTGTGAGCTACCAGCATTAAAGTTGTGAGCATGTGATTTGGCTACTGCATAAATTAGTGTGTTCTGGAGCCATCAATCCTGAGCTGAGAAAAAATTTGTGAGACGGAGGCTAAAAAACTGTGAGCTAGCTCACACTAACTCAGCTTAGAGGGAACATTGGTAGGGACCCTCCCTAAATCTTGTTCCCTTTGAACCCCAGATATATAGTCAAGCCGGCTGGCTATCTGACCCTCTTGGAGGTGCCTAGTCACAGGAGGGCCTTTACACTTGCAAGGTCTGCTGCACTCCCCTCTGCTCTTTTAAAAGGGTGGTTTAATAGAATCCCCTGTGGGAAAAGGTTTTGCCCCGGCAGTGAAGGAGAAATTGAGTCGTTCTTCTAGGTTTTCTATCAAGATGGTCGCATACAGACTACCACTCCTTTGATCAATGGAATACCTTGAAGAACAAGCTTGGGATATGTTAGGTTACTCCTAGAAGACACAAATCTAACAACTACAACATCAATTGCAACGTTTTGTTCAACAGCCTATAAAATCTGCCGGTTGGTTTCATTATCAGGGTTTATGTAAATACCGGCCATTTATATTATGATTTATGTGTTATTTTTTACTAATATCATTTTTCACTTTCTTGGGGGGGGGTAATATTTAACAGTACAATAAAATTTGAAGGACTCCAAATTCTGCCACAGAACTCACAAAAGGAGAAGCCTTTTGAATGCTCAGAATGTGGGAAGAGATTCAGTCAGAGTAGCCATCTTCAAAAGCATCTAAGAATCCACACAGAAGAGAAGCCTTTTGAATGCTCAGAGTGTGGGAAGAGATTCAGTCACAGTGGCTTGCTTCAAGAGCATCAAAGAACCAAACAATGTAACTCCTTAGCTCAGAGGTGTTGTTCATTTGTTACGAAGGTCGGATCTGACATAAATATCACTGTGTTGGTCGGGGCCATGTGTGCTATAAAACGTAATGCCAGGTACCAGAGATATAAACTTCAGAAAGGACACCAGAACCCCAATTAATGGTATTATTTTTAGTCAAAATATAAACATCCTTAAAACATTAAGAGTATTTCCTTTATTTAATCATCTTTGATAAATGACACCTCTTGCTCTGAATCATTGCATCAAAATCCGGAGCCAATGTCTGTGCTGTAGCAATCTTGAATATGCTGTTTAGGTGTGTATCCGTAAGCTGAGAACATACTTTTGATTTATTGAGATTCATTTACAGAAAAGAGCTGTTCACAGACATACGTTGTCCCAAACATAGATGAAATTTTAGAAGCAAAAGCCTTTAGTGGGGTTAATTCAGCCCCCCAAATTGGCAATAATGCCCACTTCAAAAAGATTATCCTTCAACACAGCATCACCCTGCTCCCCCACCCTACCTGCAATTTGTGGCATCCATTCATTCATAGGTGGGGAGAAGAAAGAAAAGGGGCTGTTCAGCAAAGATGATGATGAAGGGAATCATGAGGGTGGGGGAAATTGTCATAGCGTGTCAAAGACTTTGTCCCATGGGACACCTGTTCTAAGAAGAAACATAAGATTCCCTTAAGCCGATGAGTATGGAGTTTAGCTGAACCCTCTCTAACTCCCCAACAGGAATTCCAAGTGGCTTTTGATGTTTTATAAGGTTGAGAGAATGCAATGGGCCCAAGGTCACAAGCAAGTTATCCGGAAGAATGGCATTTGACCTTGGGTCTCCCAGATCCTAGCCTAAAGCTCTAACTGGTACACCATACTGGCTGTCATACTATGGTGTAACATAAGAATGACTCCAGAGACAGCCTATACCCAGTTGAAAAAAGGTTCAGATCTGTCATCGATACTGAAAAACAGAAGCTCCAAGCAATGACTGATTGTTCTGAAGGCTACCATTGAAGCGAGAGGAGAGGCAAACAGCTCAGGCTGGCCTCCGAAAAGCATGCTTGATGAGTGATTTTGAGTTCTTCATGGAGATGGGAATAGCAAGCATTACCTCTGCCTGAAACAGCCCCTGTGCTGAAGAAGACCAGGGATTAGTGTTGGAGGACTGCAGCAAGGTGGTGGGACAAAGATCACTGGGTTGGCCTTGAGAAGTAGTGTTAGCCAAATTGCCTTAAATTGCTATTCAATATGGGGAGTTATTTTCTTAAATCAGGCAATAGGCAACTGCGGGGGCAAGCATCTCTGTATACAGGGGTGCCGTTTCCTCCAGACACACCAAATAGACGCTGAGACTGACGTCAGTATAAATAGATTTTGTTTACTGAAGGTATTTCAAGCATACAATAACACAAGCACACATACAATTACACAGTATCTAGGAAATATAGATGGAATACAAAGAACACATTCGCATTAGCAGGATATTTCAGCGCACCAAACGTCCAGGCAGGATGGTCCCATGTGCCGGGGATGTGTGCCAGATGTTCTGCTCATTTAATTAGCTGTTAATTCACTGTTCTAAGGAATGTTGGAGACTGTTAGTGCCATCCTGTTGGTCACACTGGAGAGTGACCAAAAAAACAGAATCCAGAATAAGATGGTGAAGAGAAGGGCAGATGGGATGCACCAAGGATGGGGGGCAGTAGGGGGACCCCATGCCAAGGGGAGTCCCTTTTTTCTTCCCCACATACAGTGAGCACACAGTGAAGCTGCCTTATACTTAATCAGAGCGTTGGTCCATCGAAGTCAGTCTTGCCTGCTCTGACTGCCAGCCGCTCCCCGGGTGTGTGTGTGTGTGTGTGGCCAGGAGTCTTTCACATAATCTCTTAGCTGATGCTTGACTGGAGATACATGCCGGTGATTGAACCGGGGACCTCTCTGTAGTAGCGATGGGACTATAAATATTTCCCCCTTTTTCATTATTCATATTTCTCTGGTTTTTATAGATTTATTCTTAAGTAATATTTGATTAGAATGTTAGAAAGGCCTGTTATATAGAAGGCTTTCCTCTTGTAGGTCTGATATTGCTAGCAGACAACATAATAGGTACAAAGTTCATGATTCTGTAGTTCTTAAGGGCAAAACCTTACAATGTCTGGGTCAGAGACGATTTTAGTCTCGTATCAGTAATGAATACTTTTGTTTAGGGTATGACGAATCCTTGCCCATTATCATTTAGGTTAGGTTAAGTAAACACTTAGGTTTTACTTAGATTGACATAGATATATGTTTCTTTACATCTGGCCAATCAGAGGATTATTACTCAAATTACCACTGTCTTTTGTAACCAATTATGCTTTTTGAATATTGTTTTCTTGATGATGTCAGTCCATGTATAAAATATCATGTATTTCCTGAATATGTTCAGAATATGTTCAAGAAGAAGAAGATGAAGAAGAAAAAGAAGAAAGTTGTCAATTGTTGATGAGTTATTGGGTCCAATGGTTTTTCCTTTTAATTGAAGCATATTCCCTGAATATGCTGAGAAGAAAGTAGTCAATTTTGGATGGACTATTTGGTCCAACTGTTTTCCTGTTAATTGAAATAAAACATAGATCTTCCTCCTCATTTGACTTCATTTTTGACATGGAATCTAATAT